TGATTTTTTTTTCAATGGAAACATTCTCCTAAAAAACATTTGTTTCTCCCTTTGGAGCAGTAGAAGACGATGAAATTTAAAAAAAAAAAAAAAAAAAAAAAAAAAAAAAAAAAAAAAAAGGAAAAAAAAAAAAAAACCCAGACATGACTTGAAGACAGTATTTAACCATCCCTTCTCTGAGATATTTTATTGGTCTACAAAGATAATGAGCTAAAGCCACTGTCCTTAAAGACTGCTTTCTGGGAGGAGATGAGGGACTGATGTGCATGGAGACGCTGGATGGAGACCTGGCTGTGGGACCCAGGAGAAGGCTTTACCCCCTTCCCACCCTGATGCTGAAGATCTCTTTTTCCTTTTCTCTCCATGGAAACAAACAATCTCTGACTCTTGTCACTCGGAGAAGACTACACAGCAACATGGCTTGTTTACTCGCTGTTGTCTTCGGTGGATTGAAGCTGTGTGGCCTTGTCCTCGTTCCAGGAAATGCATGGACATAGCTGTCTGAAGGAAAACCCTAATGATTGTATAGTTTTCAGCGCCGAGTGGCAGTTAGCCACCTCGCTTTTATTGTTAGCAGATTACAATGTTGCCTCACTGCTCTGTGCCACACACCACGCTGTGACTAATATCATTCAACAAAAGAGAATCCCCTCCAAAGTGACCGTGTTCTCCAGCCTAATGGATCTGGTAGAGGCTCCATTCATACGATACTGTTTTCTCTCCGCGTCTCTCCCGCGAGCCGGGATAGGAAGAAGGGCCGAATCACCCTGGGAAGCTCCCATCCATGGTGTAACACCTAGGGTGGTCGCTGCCGGATCCCACACCCTCCCAGTCGCCCTGAGAGCGGAGCTGGGTTTGCTCACACAGACCATCCTCCGGAGCTGTTCAGCATCTTTCCCCACCGAACCCTCCAAAAGAGGGGCGTGCAATAACAACAGCCTAACTTGTTTGTGCCATGAAAGGAGCTGGAAAGAATGCGCTCGGCCACATGACAAGCGAGGCCATCAGGCTGCAGAGAGAATAGAAAGACCTCATTTTTAATTACTTCTGAACAAAGTTGGCGCAGTAAAGTCTTTCCCATTGTACTGCTGAACTTTGCTTCTCATCACACAGCAGTGAAACGCAGGCTCCTCCGCTGCTGCAAGTGAACGAAAATCAAGCCTGCGTTAGGGATCACTGCACTCCCTATTATAAGCAGACTACCCATCTATCACCAGCGCTTCCCGCTTTTCTGCAGCATCCAGGCACTTCTGTGTCACTGGAGATGTTTTTATGATGAGAGTCTTCAGAAGCAAGGATGTCCCGCTGTCCTTACAGAAAGAGGCCGGGGGTGAAGCTACCTTCTCCCCACTGCTCCAGGCATGAGAGGCCATTGCAGAGAACTGGCTTGAAGCACTGAGGTCTCTGCAGTTCTAGACCGGTGCTTCAGTCACAGCAAGGAAGAGGGGATGCCAGGGCCGGTACCCAGCTGAGAGGAGGAACAAACTGTATCTACGTAGACGTAGCCAAATTCAAACCTACGTGCTAACAGCAGGGCCACAACTACAACAGGTACGAAACGAAGAATTATTACTTGAGGGAAGGTCCTCACCTTTAAAGCCTGTTAGTTCAGACCATAAATTCTTCAGGGCACGGACTTTATGGTTTGATCATCAGTAAAATATCTTGCATGGTCTTGGTCTGGGCTGAAGTAAAACATAAGCAGGCTTCAGTTCCTTGAGTTCCATGACGAGATCGGAGCCCAAGGATTCACGTAAACGTATTGCATTTCAGAGTTTTCTGGATTTAAAGTCAGAAGTGACTCATGTATTACTGATGTCTTCCTGAGCATGCAGAGAGCCTGAAACAATAGATCTAAGAGATGCAGACTGCCCCATTCACTTTTCCTTTAAAATCCGCTGTTTCCTCAAGTAGGAACTTGGTCAGCCCACAAGAAAAAATCCACATCATACAGCTAAAGACACCAGAAGGCCGTGTAGGCGTGTGCCTTGGGCAGTCTTGCATTATTTAATTAAATAGCAATTTAGCATCTTGCATTGAAATGTCTTTTAGCTAAAGATGAGCAACTTCCCAAGCAGCAGCGAGGGCCCCGTCCTTGTCACTGCTTCCCTCGCTGTCCAAGACAGAAACTGCATTGGCTTCAGAGCGCACAGGCTCAAACTCCTGCTGTGTGGGTACCCGACGCATTTCAAAGAGCATGAGCTATACCCTCCTCCCCACAGGTAAGCCTATAGAACAGCTCTGCTGCAAGTCCTGATGCTTCTTTCTTTTTTTCTTTCTCCCAGAATGTAAATACTCAAGTTCTTGTTTTCCCTGTGGGAATCCTATGGCAACCCAAAGGTGATTTCTGAGGACTACTGTTTTGCCTCCAAGTAACCCCTTACTACTAAACCCCTGCAGAAGCTCTGAACCCTGGTGAGCCTTCTGCAGCTTCAGGCTCCATTTTCACCAGCTGCCTCTACTAATTCTTCCCCTGCAGGTTGCTGCTCTGGAAGGAGAGATGACAGAAATGAACTTGTAGCTGCACTTCAGTTGCGACTGATTTGCTGAAGCTGCTGGTGCAGATGGGTTTGCAACAGGCTGCCAAACTCTGGCCTGCAGCAGCTGCTACTCTGAATTAAAAACACTCTTTAATGACTTTAAGATGGCGAGGCCCAAAAGACCTTGCTGTTTATTAATAACCTGGATCAAGAATGATGACTTAAGTTGGAAATACAAATATCATAGCGTCAACATCATTACTCCAGGCCGTTCAAAACGCTAATGAATAGTGCATTACCCTAAGCTTACAGTAATAATTTTTCTTCTCTGAGCCTAACAACAGCTACAGCCCTCTCTAGTTAATATCTTCTCCATAGTGTGGTTTGGACGGTTAACTGCCTATCGGGAAAGTAACAAGATATTAGGTAGTACTGTGAAATGTGTCCTCGCAATACCTGACAAAAAAAAATGCGCCAGGCTGGAAGAGACCTGCAGAGATCTGCCCACGTGGACCCAGAACCAGCACAGCTCACCCTGCAGGCTACACACAGAACCACAACTGCAGACACAAAACCATCTAGACACGTTTGTCCAAACAAAACCCGCGTGCAGCACTGAGAGCAAAGCAAGCAAACCTAACACATCTACCTACCACGTAATGTATCCACACTGAAACTTCAGATGTTAAGAAAGGAAATAAGGTAGAGGATGAAATTCCCACAAATTTGACCAGAAAAGGCTGATTCAATCTGTAATGCAACAGGGGAAGTCTGAGATGTTTTCATTGGCAGAATATCTGCTTTTTAACTGCTAAGGTCGCCTGGGCATCTTCACCAAAGCAAGCAGTATTGCAGGACTCAAAAAGAACATCAAATGATCACATTACTTAATTTCCCATCATTAGGAAAGGGAAGGCAGTGATGTGTAATTTTTTTTTTTTTTTGCTTTTCTTTCCTTCCCTAAGTCATGATGTAATGAGTATGTTTAAGTAGTAACATAACCCCTGACTCTTAGCACTTGAAGTGCACAACCATTGAAACAAGACACAGAGGACTCCGAGTGCTTATGTTTTAATTCAGACTAAGTGACATTGAAAATAATTTTGCACTGGAGAAAAAGAGAACATTCTAGAGCACAGCACTATTTTTTAATTTTTTTTCAGAAACCTTTCATTTGTTGCCCTTACAAGAAGTTAAAGCAATGCTTTACTTGAGCCCCTCTGTACAGAGTACATGATAACGATGAGAACTTTTTATTTAATACTGTACGAAATGTCTGACCCTTGAGGCATAATAACGTGCTTAAAATATACTTAACAGTACCCTCTGGCTAAAAAAAGTTTCCAACTCATACTTAAAAAAATATCCATTTAGATGCTTACTTTGACTATGTGCCCAGCATCAATGGCAAAAGTGCTTCTGTTTAGAAAGGATGGTTCAGCCAAAATTCAACTTGTTTTTCAGGAATAGGAAACTGAAGAAAAAAATGTAATAAAAGCCATACCAAATAAATCATCATTCTCCTCTACACCGTAAGTGAATGTTCACGTGTGTGCAAATCTTACTGTTCAAGCTAGTACTTGATAGCACTTTCACAATGCAGCATTGCCAGTGTTGCTGTCTAACCCTCATTGCTGTCTGATGTTGTGGGTGCAGGGAGACCACAACGGTGGTGACAAAGGCACAGCAGGAACAGCCTTTGCCACTATCTCCAGCAACCCTTCAAACAACTCCATACCAGACTAGTCACCCACAAGTTTTGACTGTGATCTATATGCTTTTCATTTCCGCTACAATGATTATACATAAATGTAACTTCACGGAGGCAATGGAATCACACCAAATTATAAGAAACAAGACGATCAGGAAAAGCATCTATTTTATAATTATCTGCATCCATGAAAAAGGCAACTGAAGCGTTCTGGAGAAAAGCAGAGGAGAAACTGGTCTTCACTTTCCTCTGCTGGACTGAAATAAGAAAAATAAGGTTTACAAAGGGCTGGATTAGAAAAACAAAGCTGAGAAGGGCTACCAGCTCTTCCACCTGATATTACTAGCTACTACTGGAACTCAGTGGCTGAGCCAGTGTTTCCACAGCCATTCTTCAAGAGCATAAAAAGGGCAATCTCTCCTTCTGGGCATATTTTGGAAAAATATGCTGAAAACTCCCAACAGGCAAACCCCATCTTTTAGTAAACAGAACTGTAACCATTAAGACAGATTTTCTGCAGCTGCATTTTAAAGTGAACAAGTACAAATTTGCAGGTACAACCTTTAGATGACAGAACATAACCACCTCGCTACATGTGGTGGCACACAGCTACCAAGGGGCAGGTTTTTGATCCAGGCCTAACAAATGTACACACCAAACAGCAAATCAACCCACGGCCAATGAAAAACAAATACACAGAGTGTGGGTAATTTGTGGGTAACCGTTTAGAGAAATGGCCCCTCTGTCATCTGTCTTGGCAAATACACTTTGCATGTACAACTGCAGGAATGAGGCAGGCAAGTCAGGTGTGAGATGTATGCCGCATTTGTTTGAAAAGTTGGCTTTGCACTTTGTTGTTTAGCCTGCAGTAATCAGAGGATACACTAATATCCTTGAAAACTTAGGTTGGCTTCTCACAAAACAATGAAAACACGCCTATTTGTTTTTCCTCTATTCATATTCATTTCTGACTATTGATTTCTACTTGCCCTTTGTTTCTCTGATTCTTGGCCAGCTCAACTCGCAAAGTATTACCCCCGAGGCTCAAGCCTTTCAAAGAGGATACAGCACTCTCTGCGGTTGCTTTATCCTTGTAATCGAGAAAAGCCCTGTGCTGTGCTCCTTGCCAATTCAGTCGTAAAGGAGTTGCATTGAATTCCCTTAAAGCACATTTCAGCTCGCTCACTCTTACGCTGGGAGGTATGCTCCCCACATACACGGTAGTAATCATGCCAGATCCCCCTAATCTGGGATTTAAAGAATCACTTTCAACATAATGTTGTCCCATTTGAGCTGAGCCCGTTGCGGCCTGCGGTCCTGTATTTTCAGCCATCGCTGCCTCATTCGACACTGCTGGTGCGTTGGCATTTGCCAAGCCTGAATGTTCATCTTGGAGGGTAACATCCTTGCCAGTCTGCTTCTCTCTGTATCGAAGGCTCTTTAGGATGGGGATTTTTTCCAGCATCTCATAGCTGACCTAAAAAGGAGGAAGACAGATACAATTATGAGATTTCTCCCCTTCCAGAAAAAGGAGACGACCATCAGGACCCATTTGTGCCATAAAAAGAGAGGAACCTTATTACATTGCTACCATTCAGAGTGCCAGAGCATTCAAAATGTTACTAATTGCTGGCCTGATTTTGATGCTGCTCCCTAAATACACACTGCAGGACAAAAATAAACATTAGTTACTCTTTAAGTAAGCAGCACAATGTAGATCCAGCAGGAAAATCAAAACCAAACTCAGAACTACTCGATTTTGACATTTATTTATCAGGGTGCTTTCAGATTCGTATTCTTATTGTTATCCCTTAATATTTGCTTTGACCGAGGGCCTGTGCTCCTGCTCTGGCAGAGTCTTATACGCCGACAATTCATCAGACCATCAGGCACTTTCATTCCACAGACCTCCTCACACTCTTTTCCCCCAACACAGGATATCCCGTAGGCTGGGTCATACAATGGGGAGGGACGATGGTGTTAAGTTTGCAGCTGGGGAGCGTGCCTTGTAGCAGGGCTCCTATGAGTGTGGGCCCAGCTGGAGGCACGTTCTCTGGTTGTGGCACATCACCACAGCCTCTCTCTTGTCATCTGACCTCACACACCGCCCGCAGCTACTCATCAGATCCCACACCAGTCTGCTGGGTTGGATCACAGAACGGAACAGCGCCCGGACACTCTGCTTCAAAACTGTGAACCCTCTATCCCTTCCATCCACCCCCAGTTCACAAGCAGCTTTTCTGGAAGGGCTCTTCCTCTCAACAGCTGAACCCTATCCATCTCAGGCATGAGATGCCCCAGGCTGCACTCAGAGACTGGCAGGAAACGCAGTGGTTCCCTAGCTAATGTGGTCTAGCTCTTGGCTTGCAGACTGCAGTTGGAAGGAGGAATAATTCGTACTTGGCTGCTGGACAAGCAGAACATCCATCAACACAAGATCCAATTCTTAAATTTAGGGAGCAAAACAGAGCCTAGGGGAGCGATGCCTGAGCTAGCAGAGACCCAAGCTAGTAGCCCACACAGCGTGAGCAAGCCACTCTAGCAGGGTACTTGCACCCAAGCTTATAAGCTGCCACGACCCAGCAGGCTGTGCTGGGCTAGCACTGGCATATCCTGGCTAGAATATGCCTGCAGATCTCCCAGTTCAGACCTCTCTCATCTCAGAGCTCCTGAATTCCTGGTTCTACAATTACAGTCACAGTGAGTTTGGATCTGGCTGCACCACATAAGGTCTAAATTTACAGATCTGTAGGCAAGCTCTGAAGTGACTTGAGTAAAATCAAAGACAAGGTGAGGGCAATGTTAGGTTTAGGTAACAGGAAAGCCAGTCAACAGAAGTCTATTAAACATTCCCAGGACTCCTCTTCTGAGGAGCAAACGAAGCTTTATTTCAGGCTGAAACTAAATAAAAACATCATTTACTGTCCTAGCCCTATCATGTTAATATAACTTCCAACAGCAGAATAGGACTAACCAGTATGCACAGAGGCCACCTCCATTCTGCCACACTGCAGACCCAGATTCAAGATCTTTGGGATCAGCCCCTTTAAACAAGCAAACTTTATGACTGAGAACAACTTCTGAACAAATCTGGCCTGATCTGGCAGCCAGCACAGGGAGGCAAGGACTTCCTCTGGGGCTTTGGGAGCCTCCGCACTCTGAAAGGTACACGCCATTTTCAGATTTTGAATAGTTATTGCTCTGTGGATTCTTGGACTGATTTGTTTTTCTCAGCCAAGAATTCAGACTGCTGTGTTTGACAGCAAACTCCCCTTCCCTGGGCGATACAACATCAAACCAATGGCTGAAGCCATCTTACTTTGTTTTTACTGGCCAACAATTAGGAACATTTGTTGTCCTCTGTCAAATTTCTATGTGAAATGTAAGCTCTATGCTAATTAAACCAAACAGGAAAAACATTTTTCTATTCTCATGCAACTAATCACTCCTGGGTCCAAAGCACAACCTCAACCTCTTACTAAGTGTACGTACAGTTCCTTTCACCCTGAAATTAAACTCAGTTCCCAAGGCATGGACCGTGTGTTTAGTTAGAAAGATCAATGCTACCAAGGGCAAACCCTTACCACTTTGTAGATTAAGGGAATCAAAGAGATGGGCACTGAGAGGATGATCTCTGGAACTCCCAGCCTTTCAAGGACAAACCAAGGAGAGGATTTAAATAATCCAGGGGCCAGTACACTCTCTAAGAGACTTCAACTGGCCAGGCTTCAACACGGCCTCTCCTCTCACTAGAGTGCCCAGTAGTTGTTGGCATCTGACTGGAGCTCTTGGAGCTACTGTTTCAGGCTCCCTGCAAACTCGGGAAGATGTAGTTACAACAGCATGTATGTCTTTTTGAGGACTATGAATTGTTGTTTTCTATAAAAGCTGAAGCTCTGATAAAACACCACCATGAAGCGAACCTATCATTACCTTAAATTCAGCCCTGTGCAGATGTAACAGTAAGTAGCCTTTACAGTACCAAAGCAACACAGGCAGTTGATCTGGCACTTGGATTTTTTTTTGTAATAGAAAACATTCTGTAAAAAACCTACATTAGACAAGTTATGACACTGTCAACTGACATCGTTCTGCCACAAAAGACAGACAGAGGATTTACCTTAAGGGCTGTTTTCCCTGGGGTCTAGGAGAGTCAGCTGGGCCAAAGCTTTCAAATCCTTCCCTATTTTCCCACACTTTTATGTCAAGGAAAGGCAGAAACTTAGTTTGGGATTTCAGAGTTTCTATTCATCAAACCAATTCGCTACCTTTTTTGGGGTGTAGGGGGTGACAGCCAAAAGGGCAAAGGGGGCAGTGGGTGGCAGAGGAGAGGAAAAAGCTCGCTGTGCTCTGTTGCAAAATAGCAAACAAAAGAACTCCGTGGTAGTACAATGTGTTGCTAATTACGATCATGCAAAAAGTTTCTTTTGTCTTGTGAGCTGTGGAGGATTGCAATGATTTATTTCCATGTGGAGAGAGGCCAAAGATATTCCTCCTCTCTTTCAAACAAGCTGCACGTTTCTTGGTCCTGTGCCGGCTGGTCACTCCTCCCCAGCCTTGCCTACTGCTTCAGGCTAAACCAGGATGCACGGGGCTTGGGTTCTACCCCAAGTCTGGTTGATCCAGTTATGTGGACCTGGGCAAACCCAGTGGAGGAAGCTTCTTCCCTTGCTTCCCCCATCTCTATAAAGTCAAGGCCAAACCATTTATTGATGTTTGTAAACTTTGTATTGAGTGTTGGGATTTAGCTAAATGATTGGCTTTGGCAGTGAAGCCAGCTGAAGAAGTTTCCTATTATCCCTTGACCACCAATTCCCAGGCCAGTTCCGTACTTCAGCCCTCTGGGGTTGGCCAAGAGAAGTGCTTGTGGGTCTGTGCTGTAAACTCAGTAACTAAAGTGATTCAGGTTAAAAATAACTCCACCAAAGGCAATTAATCATTTAACAATCCTGCCTACTCCCTGCCATAGCTGGGAGAGCCTTGGGGAAAGAGGACAGCAGGGTAGATGAATTCTTCTGGCACACAATTACCGGGCTATGGGAAAGGAGCTGAGAAGGGAAATGTGGCCCCTTTCTGACAGAAACCTGAAGAAAACAGTCTTGAATGCTGACAGCCAACACAAATCTCCCAGCACTTAACCCTGAGCATCCATTCTTATGACACCTGGTTTGGTCCCAAAACAATGTAGTGGCAGATGGACTTCTGCAACATCTCTGCTGGAACATTAGGGCTCTCTTCAACCTCTGTTATTCCAGAACAGTGAATGTAGCCACTTTCAATATTTTGCTGGGGAAAATGAAAGATGTGTTTGTCCTCTGACAGAATGAGTAATGCTGACCCTTGATACAGTGCAGGCCAAGCCAAACACCACTTTGATTTCCCTGGCAGCAGAGGCGGTGCAGTTGTGATGTACGGCAGATGAGGGAAGGACAGCTATAGAATGGAGAGCACGTTAGGTCTGCTATTTAATTCTGCTTCACACAGCTACCCATCTGCACACAGCAACGGATATAAGAACACATGGCTCAAGATGGAGACAGATGCTGCTGCTGCCCTGCCCTGTCATGGAAGGCTGTGAACAAGACCAATCAAAAGTAGAGCAGATCCACCAGCCCTTCCAAATATTGACCTTGGTATGCAGAAGGTGTTTGAATGATTCATCTTTGCCCACCCTGAGGGGTCTCTGATCCTAGACTCCTCATAGAGGCCTCCAGGACAGAGCCCACTTCTCGTGTTGTCTCCTTAATCAGTTGCTTGTGTCAAGGAGCACTGAGCTCACAGGGGTTTAAAGCACAGACAAAGCCAAGACAGCTAGGACGGGCCAGCACAGTCGAATATTTTATCATTCATTTGCACAAAATGTCCAAATATGTGCACGCAATCCGAGGGCATATTTCTGGGAGCTGGCAGCCCATGAAGTCTGCTAGTGTCCCTCAGGAGAAACTTATGCAACCCACATTTGGAATTCATCAGCAAAAACTGATTCCATGGACTCTGCAGCAAGGGTCAGATTTGCAAAGGTGTTGAGATGTTTAACCACGCGTGGAAGCATGCCCTGCTCACGCTATCCTTCTGAAAAAACAAAATAAAACAAACCTTGGCTAAACTGACAGCAATTTTCTTCTGATGGCAACACTGAGTCCCTGATGAAGGTTTTGCCAGCTACAACGTGTGAATTTTTTGAGCTTTAAAACAACATCATTTTACTTTCCAAATGTTCTACCACAGACCCGAATCAAAAGCTGTTTGCTGTCAATAGTTTCCATCTCTGCCACTGCATGCTAAACTCTTTCAACATTAGACCCAGGGATTCCCCCCTATTAATTTCATTTTGGGAAAAATCTTTTCCTACTTCTATAAAATTTGCAGCAAAAGAATGATTAAAGAAACAGAAGGAAATTCTTGCTAGAATCTTGTGATTTTTCCACCAACTATTCTCATTTCCCTCTTCATGACCCCAAATATTTTAATTGGTCTGTATAGTGTCAATTTAAAATAAGCACAGCACAAATAACTTCATAATTGTGACAAATATAATAGACAGTGTCGCAGATAAAGATCACAGCTACCCATACAAAATACTAAATGAGAAAGTAAGTTGTTTCATGAATTTAGAGTTCCCAGAAACAATGGGTTAGATTTTCAAGACAGATGAAGCCAAATAGTTCTCCACTGGCATCCAAATAAAGTTTTCCACAGCGCTGAGCTCTTAGCAGCTCTTGCTGTCCTCCAAGAGCACATACTGATTTCTCACAAACCTGAACGCAGATGCAGAAACACTCCAGTGTACTCCACAGTACTGCCTTTGTATTTAGATGTCTTTCTCGAGTGCTTAGCACTGATACCGATAATGCTTCTTTGGTATTAATAATATTGTGGCTTTTATACTTCCTTGGAAGTCTTTAAATCAGGATTTCTGTGACACAAATCACAGCAAGTAATTAACATCTTCCTGTTTGCTACCTTGACAGCAAGAAAATAGCTCAGCTGGAAATTCTGCACTGAGAAGAACTGAAAGGAGGTATCTGAGGGCAAATCACGCCAATTACCCCAAGAAGTGAATTATTTACTCACAGAGTAACACCTATTTACCCCATCCCCATATTTGACACACTACTTCCTTCCTACATAGCACAAACAAAAACACTCCAGGAAAATGCAGTACCTCTTCAAGCACAGAAATCTAGCCTGGAGACATGCATTTTGTTTGCTACCTAAGTACCTTAGCACTTCTGAGCTGAAAACAGAGTGTATGTATTAATGACTATTTAACCTATCAGCTTCAGGAAAGCAAATACTTTGCAACAATGCTTAGCGGTAATCCCATGTTTGCAAACACCTTTAATTTAACCTCTTAAATCATTGTCTTGGCTTGATCCAGCCATGTTCCTGAAGGATGAACTTTTTTGCAATGTATTTTACACATCACACAACAATAAAGTTAAGCTACTTTCTGTTGACAAAACACCATATTTAGAAGCGGATTATTTATTTACCCACTACCTCTCGGTTCATTTAGTTTTGCTCCGAGGAGCAGAAATGCACCAGTAAAGCCAGGATTTGAAGGAGAAAAGGTTGTAGAGAAAAGGAAGAGGAAAGGATGTAGAAGCAGCCAGGAAAAGTCAAAGGACAAACACTTAAGTAGCCCGTATCAAATCCTGCATTTCTAACACCCTGCCGATTAACTAGACCTCCCACCTCCAAGACTCTGTGTGCAAGAGGTTGATCATCCCATTATCACCACAATCACAAACAAAACATACAGAAGTTGTTCAGCTCCCCATGAAAGAATAATGCTAATTGCTTTCTTCTTCATGTAGACACAAAACTTCGTTCCCAGAACAACAGAAATGTAATGATTACCCCTGTATTGACTAGTATTCTCCAATATTCTTATCTAATCAACATACGCTCTGAAGAACAGCCAAAAACAGTTTTAGGTGTTAAATCAACATTCAAATATTCAAATAAAGGCTCAACTGTGTAATGTGCTCCATTCTCCGTGAAAACTGTAGAAAATTCACTGAGCTGTATGTTTCAGAAAATGCCACTAATATAGAGATTACTATAGAAAAAAAAGTTCCACTGTCTCGTGCCAACTGGCTAAATTCAGTGTGGCGCAAGCTTTAGATATGACTCTACCAAGCATCTCCTCAAGCTTTAGACGCAAGCACAAAGGAGCTGTGGCAAATACTTCATTAGTTTATAGGGTGTATATTATAACACTGATCTTGATTTTTTTCTCTAAAGAGCAAAGAAACGCAAAGGTAACATCAAATTTGATACATTGCTTGGGACTGACTGACTTTTCATGAGTGGTAAAAGTTGCCAAAAGTTTAATGGCCCCTGCAAGACACCGTGTTCCCCAGACCTTTGAAAAATGTCGCTGCTAAAGGGAATCAGACAGAAAAAAAAAAAAAGAAAAAAGCGTTAGTAAGTTTTACTGAGATTGAAGTCTGACATTAAGACAGCCCGTGATCAAAAATATGTTGGCAAGATGGATGGAGCACAAGGGGTAGGCCTTCAAAACAATTACATTCAATAATATCCTAAAAAAATTATGATTCAAAAATAATTCAGTGGAAAAAATGCACTAGTACAGACAGAGCTTTTATTTATTTATTTATAACCTCAAATCCTCAACCACTGGCAGGGTAAAATACTCTCCCACCATAGGAATAAAAATAGTACTGGCCAGAATTGTTTGTTGTAGATACATTACCTTAACAAATTTAACTCTTTTTGCTGGTTGGCAAGTGCTTAACAAACAACTCTTGATTTCCCTAGAAGTATTCACTAATAATTCCTCAGTGGTTTCTGCAAGACATTTCAGTGCTATTGCTCATTTCAGTACTCCTGCTGCGACTCAGTCACGCGGGATTGCGTCTGCTCCCTAACGGGATGATTTTAGGAATGAAAGTCTAATGACAAAGAAAAAGTTTTCCCAGCATGAACTTCCAGTAAAACAATTCACTAAATGCTTTTCTGAAACCATTTATGAAGCTGCTAAAGTTTCTGACAATCTTGGGGGAAGGGGAGGTCAAACGCATAAAACAATATTTATCAATAAATAATGATTCATGATTTAAAGCAGTATAAAGTCACTATTCCTCCACCTGAAAATGAGCTCCAGCCACAAATTCATCTATCCTTCGAAAGTTAGTCCCATACATCCACTATGTAAACAGCAAGGTATCAGCCACTAGGTCACGCTTTCCTTTCACAACCAGAGCGGCACATATTCTACCCATTCCACACAGCCTAATGCCATGGTACTGTCTCCAGAAAACGAACAGAGCCAATTTCAATGAGCACTGAGGAATAGAACATAATGTGGAGAAGCCCCTCAGCTTACATAGACTATTATACTGCAAGCAACTACAAGAAATATGTTTATCTTAACAATCCACAAACAACGTTTCCAGGGACTTTCACCCTATAATCCATTTGATACAGCAACCTCAAATTCAATAACATATTTCTTCTCCTCACTATTACCACTTAAAAAACACCGAACACATATGCTATTGTTTTGTTTCATCTGACAAACACATTTGCTCCTTTTCCAAGTATTTCTAATGCCACAAATGTGTTTATATGTAAAAATGGGGGACTTATCAACAGAACGTCAGTACCAGTAAGCAACCGTTAGCAGACGTAACTTGCCTTATGCCATATTATTCCCTGAGGTTTTGGTCGTTTGCAATTAGTCTTGATAGTTCTTGTTGGAGTGAGTATATAATCCACAGTTAAATCATGATTATCGAGGAGCTCTTCTGCTATGTCAACCACCTACAAGGAACAAGAGATTTGGTAAATAGTTAAAAACAAATTCACTAAAGTTGCACGCCATTCCTGATGTCTTGCAACATATGAAAATCTGTCAATGATAGTGGAAACAAAGTAAAGATGCTACACCAACATCATTCCAAGTCTCTTCTTGAGACATACCATTTAGTAGCACACATTTCTGACTCATCACTCAAGAGTGGATATTTTAATTTACCTGACAGTCATGCACAATAGTAATTACAGGTGTATCTTCCTGCACTGCACCCATTGACATCATCATTGCATATTCCATGTCTGCATAACCTTCCCCTTTTCCAATTCTCCAGCCTAAAACACACAAAAGCAAACGGTGATAGAGAACACAAGAACAACAGAGTGGAAAGGATGGTAACCGTCAAAAGCTTGCAATTAAACTAAACAGTCTGCAACAGACAAACCAAGCACAGAATTGTAACTTGGGAAAAATTCAGATCAGTGTCTCTCACAGAATGCAACTTTCCTTGTAATCACCACTGAAATTAATATAAATCATCAGTTTCAATTAACTCCTACAGGATCCCAGGAGCCTCCCATTCAGAATAAACCAACTTTAGTCCAATTCAGTTAACATAGAAGCCTTTTTACCCATGGCAATTAGAAACCTCTATTAATGTCAAACATAGGTTAACTTCATGTGGGTAAAGAGGAGTCTGGGTTGCACACAAAGAGCATGTTATTTTTAGGCAATGGATAATAAAGTTAGTGGAAAAATTTTCACCAGCAGCAGGTCTTCAAAAAACTAGAAAATGCAAAATCTGATCCCCAAATAGGTACTAAACATCATCTATAACACATGTCCTTTCACACACCCTGTGAGAGCAGAGCAGATCCTCTGAACAGGAAGCCCTCCGATTCTTTTAAAAAACAACAAAAAAATAAATAATTGCTTGCCTGAATAGTTCTACCGAAGGCCAAAACACTGGCCTGCACGCTTTAAACTACACCACTGTCTGCACCAGGAGTCCTGGTGGTATTGCTGTAAAGCAGACATCGATTCTTCCTGGTTGGATTGGGATCAGTGACTTGTCACACAGAAGAGACAGAAGTCAAGACAATAATTCAGTCCCAAAGATATGTTCGGGTCTGCCAAAAGGAACACGTAGTGTAGCCTACTGACATTGTGAATCATGACTTAAGACCCTCCTCCTGAAAAGCCTACAAGGGTTTATCTTACCTTTTTCAGAGACAGCCACTGATCCTACAACAACCAAGTCCACTCGTGCTTTCCCATCAAGACCCACAGGCACACTGTACTCTTTTATACCCTGCAAGAAACACATAATTTTCAGTTCGCAGAGTGCAGAGTCTTCCAACCAGTGAGGCAGAAACCCAGAATATTTTGATAAATCCAAGCAACTCCCCACGTTTCAAAGTGTTTCTTCCATGTATAGCCAAGCTCTACATGTCTGGAAAGTTATCCTCTAGGGAATCCTAGAATACATTCCCTACTACAGTGGCAAGGTTTTTGGCAGACTTCAAGGAGGGCTAAGGGAGGTGGGCACTTTTCTAAGCAAGGTTACTTATTTAGGATCAAACCCTCATATTTTGAAATCCTTTATTGGACATGTATTTCTAAAAATGAGGGCAAATGACACTTTCGACCCTACTACTACTACTAACTTAAGAGTCATAATATGTAAATTCATGCCCATGAGGAATATCAGAGCACTACAAATTCTTAAATTAATTGTCACAAAAATAATTTAGACACAGAGCTACAGCATAAAGATGTTAAGCTGCTTGTCTAAAGTCACACAAAATCCTTCACTGAAGCACAACCAGGTACACAAGCTGGATCACTCTCCATTTCACACGGCATCCACTGCACTGTCTGTTTCTCCACACCTGTATCTTTAAAAGCACCTTCCAAAGCTGCCTAGGTGTGCCCTGAGACTTCATTCCTTAACACTTTGCTGTGTGATCATCATTCGGGATGCGCCACTGCCAAGCTAAGCTATCTTTACCAAAACCTTCTATCTAAGATACTAATGAACAGGAAAAGAGACTGTTCCTGACAAGTGAAAAGAAAAACCTCACACAGCCCTGCCATCCTTTTTTTCTTCCGCTCTCTCCCTCCTCATTCTCACCCACCCCTCTTCAGGCTCCTCTCTAAAAACATATCCTAACAAAATTCTGTCCAGAGCTGCAGAAATTAAAAATAGTGTTTACTTGGATTTTCAAACATTGGAGGTTTAGAACTTTTAAAAAGGTATCTTGTGATTCATTCTCTCTTAGTATATGGGCACAGTGTAATGTAAATCCTCCTCACACCAATTCAACTTTGTGCTAAGTTAATCCTCACAATAAAAAGCCAAACATTTTCTGTGTAGAGCACAAACCCCAAAAGATCAGTAATTTTTGGCTGACTATCAGTAATAATGTTCATTATCCACTTCAGAGCAGTGTGGCAAGAATTGTTCACACAGTGCTTTGTAAATATAAACTGCTAATAGCATTTATTCATTAGTATCCCTGGTTGGGGGAAAAGCCAGACACATGGTGGTAAGATCACAGATCTGATATGAGGCCTGAAGCAGGTCAAGAGAAAGGTCTCTTTCAAAAGTGCTCTTCAGCCCTGAAAAGCTTAATTAGCTAATGACTTTAATAGAACTTCCAACAAAGAAAGTCGCTCTTAATTACCATCCATTTATGACCCTCAGTTGTATACAAGATTACCGTAGAACTTTATTGCCTTTAGCAGGAGATAAAGAAAGAAATAAAACCTATATAGCTGGCCAATTCATTTTGTACAAGTTACGTTTTCGTATCAAATAAAGATGCGGATAAAATACTGCAGGTTTCTCTGCCAAATGACTTTAGCTGTACAGTACGATATTTTAACACCAGAGGGCAGCAGCATACCATATTTCAGAAGAAAACTGCTAACACATTTTTTACTTCCGTTGGTGCAAATGACAGAATTAATGTTTCTTTAGACTTAGGATTCTGAAAGAATTGATCTTTCCTATTTAGTAACACCTAATATTTTATTAACCAGATTATGAAAAAATGGTAAACATTAAAATATTCTTTATAGGGTTTGCTAGCTCAAAACTGCAGAAGAATATAGGACTACTATTTATCAGAAACCTAAAGATCTAAGTCACCAATGAACGTTGCTCACAATGTTCCAAAAAGCATCACAAAATATAGATACCATTTTGCTAATAAAATACAGCGAAAAGACTAAACTTCCTCATAATTTAAGTACCAAGAAAAAAAAATATTAATGATGGATGCGTACACAAACACAAGAGTAACATACTAGCAGAACACTGTTTCAGGTAGCATCTGATTTTCCAACTTCTAGCTGGACTATCACAACACAACACTCTTCTACAACTGAATTCAGACCCCCCGCCTTTTTCATTCCTACTTGAGACGTAGCACATATTCGCAGGATCTCCTTAGTTGCACCTGAAGGTGGAACAATCTTATTGAACAGTCCAGTTCTCAGACGTGGTGTGGGAACTAACAAAGTCTTCCTTGCCTGTGTAACAAAAGAAGTTATCACATTAAAAGGAGGTGGGACACTAAAGAAATACTTTTACTGTCCCATAGGTCTCCATGTGGTTAATCATCTTATTTGCTACAGAGCAATTAGCATTGTTGATTGCGTAGCACTTGTAGATGAGTCCCCTCCAGTACAGCAAAATTCCAGATAAGATTTTATTTAAGAAATAGATGGCAAGACATACCGACTGCTCTAAAGTGCATGTCTACAAATGAGCTATGCATATAAGCTAGCGAACATGCATAGGTCTGAGGTAAGTCTGTCACACATTCATCTTGTGACCAATGTAAGGTAATTTGAGGCGAGGCTACCTTACATGTTTCAGGGAATAAGAATACAATGACAATGGAACAGCTATTGCTCTGCAGAAACATATTCTTTTCCACAAACCCTACCTGCACCTTCGACATTTGCCAAAAAGGCAAAGACATCCTTACATGAGCAACCTCATGAGGCTTAGGACTGGTAAAGCTCCCACCAGGAAATGGCAAGCGCTGACCATGAGATGCCACCAAGTGCTTGCACTCTGTCCCAGTCTTCTCCTTAGGGGTGCAAAGGTGCTTTTACCTGCAGCACCGCTAGCCGAACACCTTCTAGAGGTTTGTCAGGATCCACTTTAATCTCACGTGCTCTGTTGAACACATCCAGCTCTTTAATAGAGCAGCAAGCCTGGTCAGACCCCTGCGTGAAGAAAGGAATCAAGAGAGAAGAGAATACATTCACTTACTTCCAGCGTTAGAAAGCGAGCATTCTTCTGGGGAGCATCAGGATTTATTTTTACAGTACTGGCAGCTTTGAACTCCTGTAAACCCAGAAGCCTTGTCGCCGCATGGGAGGCACCCTGTTTTCACAAGATATCAGTGCATCACCAAGGAGTTCACAGCAGAGATGGGAAATTTACAATCTTTCATCCTATAAAGGCTGATTTCCTCAGATTTTAAGTGAGAGACATACTGCTAATTTTGCAATTTTCTCTATGGGAAACTCACATACCAACAGATGCTCAGCAATTGATTAATATCTTGCAGGCCTCTGAAAAAGAAGGGATCCAAGTACACTCACTTTGCCTAACTTCACCCTCATTCACACCTAACTGAAAGCTGGAGACCAAGTTCCCTTTTTAGTCAACAAATATAAATAGATTTCTTTAAATGTTAGCCATAGTCGGACAGTCTTTCAGATGAAGACTTTCTAGACAAGGCTCTCTCTTTACAGAGACTATACTGAACTCAGAAGATTGACTTCTTAACTAAGTAAGGTGTTCAAGCTTAGCAGAGCACATGTTCCTTTTGTAATTTAGGCTGATATTCCCTTGCTTAAGGGCATGATATTCTCAGGCTTCCTCCACCCGCTTCAGTGCCTATTGTACCGCAGCTCCAAACTAAGGCAGAATGTTCTGCCAGTCTCTTGAGCAAAAGTAGAGCCCACTCCCTAATGCTGCTCATGGGTGAAAACACCCAACACACATCCCCACAATGCTATTTTGGTCATCACTTCTTCAACATATGACAGATACGTGGCTGCACACCTTGAGCATGGATTAAAACGGGCAGTCGGTAAAGGGGTGGCCTGAGTTAACTGAACACTTGAAAGTCCTCTTATTTCTTTCTCCCAGCCATCAAACTAGGGACACAATGAAGCCAGAGGAGGAAGTGCTCTCCCACCACTGCCCAGCAGCACTTTGCCAGTAATAACTTGGCCACCATTCCCATTTCAGCAGCACACTGTGTAATCCTCGGCGAAGTCCTACAAGACGGGTGACCTCAGCTTTCCATCCCAATGGACCTGCCGAAGCTTCTGGGGAGTGAGATCGAGTTCTGAATGCCTCAGTTTGCCAACGCATAAATATATTTATCTCATTCACAAGGTGCTTTTGTATCCATGGATTAAACATGCAGCACACACCTACCACATCTTGTCAGGTACAGATACCTGCATTTCTTTATTCGCTGTAAGTTATGTACGTCGTGCTGTGCTTGGGATGGTGTTTTTCAGAGCTCTGCCACCCTCTACCGTCACTCACCAACCCCACAAGGGGTGGTTCGCAGCTGCCTGTTTGCGGGCTGCGGCGACAGGCAGAGAACTGCAGGGGCTGGGGAGGGGGGGGACGGACCCCTCCCGGCCTGGGCTCCGGTCCCCAGAGCCCGAGGCTGTGGTTAGAGGGAGGCAGCGGCCCAGACCCGCAGCCAGGTCGCCGTACCTTGAAGTTGGGGATGCGGCGGTGCACGGGCCGCGGGAAGGCGGCTAGGCCGCTGCCCTCCAGGTAGTCCCACACCTTCTCCCGGATGTCCTGCTTGGAGGCACCTGGAGGAAAGCAGAGCTGAGGGGACGAGCGGGCGGATCGGCCGCCTCACGGGGGAGCGCTGCCACCGCCGGCCCGGCCCCGCCATCCCCCCTCCCTCAGCCCAACGGCCGCGCTCGCGCTCCCCCCGCCCGCGCCGTGACGCAGGCCCGCCCCTCCCCGCGCGCCGCTCACCCGCGCGCAGCCGCACGCCCCCCTGCATGGCGGCGGGGAGCGAGAGGGAGGGAGGGGAGGAGCCTGCGGCTTAGCCCCGCCCCTCCCGCACGCGCCCACGGCGGCCCGCAGAGGCCAAAAAGTCTCGAAGGCGAAGCGGAGGAGTGGGGCAGGCGGAGGGGGATGGCGGTTGTGGGGCTGTCCGGGGCGGGGAAGGGCCGCTCTTGGCCCGTCTTTGCCCAGGCGAGGAGATCTCCCCCCTCCCCGGGAGGGGGAAGGCAGTAGTCCTGCCGGGGCGCCCCCCCCCCCCCGCGTTGTGTGGGGTAAAGGCCGTGTGGGAACTTGGGCCTAATGGAGGGCCCTGGGCCTGATGGAGGGCTCTTCCCTCAGGGGTTGGGCCTGGGGGGAGCGGGGCGCGCTGAGGGAAAACACAGCTTCGTGTCCAGCGTGTGCTTGGGGCAGCCTGGACTCCCGTCTCTGGGCATCTCTGTCGGTGGGCAGCTTCCAGGCTGGGGAATGGCCCCCTGCAGTTGGGGGCGGCGGGGCCTCGGGGCTGGGGGGGGAGCTGCCTGAGGGGTGGCGCACCCCAAAATCTGCAGCAGCATTCCTTCTGCAGTCAGGCATAGGAAAGGACATCCTGTATCATGAACATGAGAGTGCCCCCCCCATGTTACAGAAATACCATGGTCTTTTGACCATGTGTTAAAGCTGGGGAGGGGGAAAACAGACTTTACATAAATTCCCAAATCAATTATTTTTCCATTTGAAATTGGCTGGTCATGAATAAAACAATATCCAGCTTTTACGTGGGCTTCCAGGTCTGCCAGCTGTCAGAAAGTACACTTCTTGCATTTAATAGGATAGTAAATTATTTGTTTGAATGATTTATTATTTATAGAATTAACGTATTTGACAATTACCCCAAGAAGAGGGAGGATGTTGAGAATCCTGACATTCCTGAGTGGAGTGGGATGGAAGGGTCATGGGAACAATGAAACAGAGGTTTATTTTAAAGTGTGTTGGGGAAGGGGGGGAAATGGCTTTTGAATTTGGTTTCTAATCTGCTTGGCTTGGATGCTACCGATACACATCCACCGTCAGAGCCGACTGTTGCTCTGCCAACCAAAAAGCGGAACAAATTCGGATGCTCTTCTTTGAATAGTTACAGATGTAACTGGGCAGATGCAAACGCCTTTTCTCTCTGCGGCTGCTGTTGATTGCCGAACTGTTTTTTTCTCAGTGCGAATCAAAGGCCAGGACTCCGCTGGGTTCAGGAGTCTTTCCCCCTCCAACTATGTGTGTTTTTCAAACTCAGTTTAATTTCAACGTATTGGGCTAAATGCTGCGGAGCAGCTGCGGTGAGCCTGGGGCTTCACCTTTCCACCGAAGTCCCTCGTAAGCATTCAAAGAAAGTACTTAGAGCCCTGGTTCTGCAATGGGGTGCATTTAGGAAGAGCCTTTTCACTACCTCGGAGTGCTGCTGAAGCCAGTGGGAATCCGTCCAGGCATAATAGACCACCCATGTGGAGCTGGGCCTAAATGTTTGAAGCTCATTCCTCCGCTTCCTACTCACGGAAAACTCCCAGCGACTTTGATATCTCTGCAGGGAGTTCAGGATCGGGCCTTTGGTGAGCAATTTACAACCCCTCTGTAATTCAGCGCTGCGATTTGCACTCCCGGGCTGCGAGTGCTGACGCTGTCCGTCTGTCCGCTGTCACCCAAAATCACCACGCTGCAGCTCGTGGGACTTGTTTCCACTCCAACCCACACTCATCCTCCTCTCCTTTGAGAAAGCGAAAGCGAGTGAGGTAGCAACAGTGCTGTTAATTAATACATTAACAGTCGAGGGGGGGGCTGAGATCCTACCAGACCACCTACATCTCCCTCCAACCTCCATGCAAGACACTCTGTAAAGCTGTTCCTTACGTGAATTTGGCTTCCAAAAAAGAGGGCCTGAGCTGGCTTTCTAGAAATCAGGGTACTTTGCCGTAAGCAAATGAGGAGTTTGCTAATAAGTGACATCTATTCTGCTGGTTCGATTCCCTGCTTTAATGCTACAGGTCTGAAATTTGCTCCAAATTACTTTTCCAGGGTTTCTTCTATCAGGCGTACTGCAGCCTTTAACATTAGCTCTAGCAGCCCGATGTGGCTCGTACAGAT